TAATCTCGTGGTTTAGTAAGAAGCAGGTTAGTGTTGCACTTTCCACCACCGAAGCGGAATATGTCGCTGCGGGAAGTTGTTGTGCCCAAATTCTTTGGCTAAAACAACAACTAGTGGATTTCGGCCTTATACTTGATCACATCCCTATTAGGTGTGACAATATGAGCGCTATTAGTCTAACGAAGAACCCCGTTCTTCACTCGAGGACTAAGCACATAGAAATTAGGCATCACTTCATACGAGATCACGTCCAAAAGGGAGATGTCACAATTGAGTTTGTTGAAACGAAACATCAATTGGAAGACATTTTCACGAAACCCCTTAGTAGGGAGAGTTTCTTCCACATTCGGAACGAACTTGGAATTTTGGATATCTCTATGAACTAATCCATTCTTTTTATTGACTATACTAATTTGAGCGTCAGAGGCGCGATAAATTTTTTTTTGCAGGTATCTCTTCCCTTGGTATTCAACCGAATTGGACTTGATGATTTTTTTTGTCAAACAAGTTTTAATCGATTACTCATCGAAGAGAAATCGATTAGTCGCCTTTGTCCCTCCTAATCGATTACTGGATTTTTTTTAATCGATTAAAATCCGAAAACGTCTTTAGCGCTGATTCACTTTTAAATCGATTAATTTTGTTCAATTAATCGATTAGACTCATCTGTCCATCTTAATTGATTAACCATCTCTGTTTAATCGATTAATAGCTTGAAACGAGACGTTTGGTTCTGCTTCACTTCTAATCGATTAACTAGCTTAATTTAATCGATTAGCCTCGGCTGTGTTCCCTAATCGATTAAATACTTGTTCTTAATCGATTAATAATCGATTTTTGCCCTTATATCACACCCAGTCTTCGTCTTTTTCGCCATTCCCCTTTTTCGAATCAGAGAAACCCTAGCTTCTTCCCTTCTCAAATTTTCTCAATCTTCATCAGAAACTTCTCAAATTTCTTCCATTTTTTAACAATTTTAATCAATTACAAAAAAAGAAGAATGCCAAGGTGCAAGAACGCTTCCTCGGGTCAAGAAACGGCGGCAGAGGAGAGTGAGAGGCCATGGCGTCGTGAAGGGAGCAAGTACATTCACATACAAACAGGTCTCGCCTTCAACACTCAGGCTTTAGTCGAGAGGTTCCACAACACCTTCCTCATGAAGGAGATTGTCTCTCCTAAAATCGTGAACAAGGACCTCTTCATATCGGTGACCTATGCCCCAAGTAAGTCTCTGTTTCTTCAGCAAGGTTTACTTCGTTTCATTCATTTGACGTATGAATTCTTCTGTCCAAATATTATACGTCAATTTTATGCAAATCATCGTACCACTAAGGGAGGTTCGCCATCTCTCATTTCCTATGTTGACGGCAAAACCGTTTTCATTGACGGTGCCGGTTTGACATCTTTGTTTGGCCTTCGTCGCGGTGAAATTACCGAAAACATGGATGAAACATTCCAAGATGAGGCAATTTGGCGACAACTCGGGTTAGATCATCGTGACCTCAAGTTTAGAAATTCTAGCAACCCGAGTGTCATTAATCTCACTTTAATTCAACGCGTCCAACAATACATCTTCTCCTATGTTTTGTTGCCCCGTGATTCGAACCATGGCGTTTTCAACAAGGACGATATTCGTTTGTTTCACGTCCTGTTGAACGATGTCAAATTTGATTGGGTTCACTTCTTTATCGTTGCACTTAGCGATGGCACTCGTTTTTCCCATCTCCGTTTTGCCATCCCCATTATGCATATTCTTGCTCATTGCAAAATAGACTTCACTCGGGACACTCAGGTTCCAGTCAAGAAGACGTGTTTCATCACTGAAGCCAAGTTTTCCCGGATCGTGTATCGAGAGGAGGGCGACGCTGCACCAAATCTGGACCTGATAGTCGCAGAAGAAGAAGAAGAGAGCCAAAACGAGACTCAAGCAGAGTCATCTCGAGCTGAAGGAAGTCGAGCCACGGAGCGCATCACTCGTCAACGGAGGACTCGTCCAAGAGAAGAAGCACCGGAACCTTCTTGGGTGAAGAAGATCTTCGATACTCTCACGTGCATCCGAGATGACGTTCGCCAGCTCAACGAGAGGATGACTCGTCTTGAGCAATCTCGCTCCTACCGTGGCCCGCGTCACAGTTTTGGCGGAGGAGCTCGTCCGGCGAACTCTCTTTGATTATTATTTTTTNCCAAAGGCTTCCAATCGCACTTGGCTTGGGCCCTTCATGTTTTCGCATTATTTTTCACTTTAATCAATTAATTTATCTAAAATAATCGATTAGATCCAATTTCTCAGCGTTGGATTTCTCAGGCCAATAGACTTAATCGATTAAATTTGTCCATTTAATCGATAAGTTTTGAACAGAGCAGGATAATCGATTTTTCTCTATTTTTTAATCAATTAATTCCACCTTTGCATTCAAGCCTTTTCGTCTCTATGCACTTTAATCGATTAAAGTCCCTAATTTAATCGATTAATTCTGTCTGGTGCATATCATCAGCGTTCTCCAACGGCTTTATTTTCCTCAGCCTATTTAATCCCTCATTCTCCTTCATTTCTACACACATCTCTTGCACTCCAAAATATTCTTTGAGCTATATTCATCCTTTGCTTCATCTTCCTCATCAAAATATTATTTTTTGAGAGTTAGAAATATTTTCTTTGAGTGCTTAAGAAGTTGTCATCCATAGAGCTTTAATTCTTCAACACTACTTTGCTCAATTCTGTGAGCTTTCATTCTTGTGTTGTAAACTCAATCTCATTTGAGTGTTGTTCTTAAGACTTGTGTGACTCAAGTCTTGTTGTTGTAAGAAAGTGAGGCTTATGTGATTCAAGTTCTCAAGTTGTACCAGTTTTTCAAGCACCCGTTGAAGCTTGAAGATTAGTAGGACTTTCGAGAGAGTCTCTCGGAGGACTGGACTAGCCACGAGGTGGTGAACGAGTATAAATCTCGGTGTTCTTCTTTCCCTTACTCTCTTTATTTATTCCTGCGGTTTTATTATTTCACACACGCGAAAAACGCACATTCTTGAAAACAACTCTATTCACCCCCCCCCCCCTCAAGAGTTGCACATTTGTCTAACAAGAATTAGGCAATTTACTGGTGGCGACTATGGAGTATATTGAATGTTGATAAGTCGGGTTTGGGTTAATGCTTTTTATTCTTTTTTAGGGATTTTTAAGATTTTTAGAGTTTAATTTTTAGTTGTTTAGCATAGTTTTATTTTAATTTCTATTTTTTACAATCTTTTAATTTTCTTTCAAAAAATAGTAGTTTTTTAATCATTTTTTTTACATTCTATTATTTTTATTTTCCCTAACCCAAAATTATTAGATATCTTATTTTTTTGGATAAAAATGTAGCAAAAAGAACAAAATGAAGTTCAAGTTTGAAAAGAAGAGATCTAATTTGGGCCGGAGCCCAAATCATCATCAACAAATGAAGGCCAGCCCATCATTGTCTTTCCCCAATTCAATCTCACGCACGCAAGAAAGAAAAGGAAGAACCAGCGACATTCTTCTTCATCAAACAGAAGAAAAAAACCAGCGTAACTCCTCCAACGTCTCTCCTTCTCCTAGGCTCCTCATTCAATTCAGCAACGGAAATAATTTTTCAATGGGAAATAGCGCTCCTTGCTGCTATAAATGGGCGACATACATCAAGTGGCAAAAAGGGGGAGGGAATCGCACCCAACAGAAAATTGAGCAGCGGCTTTGGCCGCTGCTATTGACGCAACCCACCGGCGGAGATGTAGACAGCGGCCGACCACGGCTCGCCGGAGTTCGACGATGGTCGGCGGTGATAGGTTAGGCGGTTTCTTCAAGCTCCAATTCTTCAATTTCTTCATCTTCTTCAACAATTGGTAACCCTATATTTGTCAATTTCTTTTTCTTCTCCAATTTCTTTGTAAAAGTTGTTTTTCAATTCTAATTTACACTTTTTTTACCTTGTTTATGTTAATTTCATAAAATTCTAAAAATGGTTGGTGTTCTTTTATGGTTTTTTTATGTTTATATTAAATCCCTTATGAATGAGAATTAATTCAAACTAGTTTTTTTCTTCAATTATTGAGCAAATTGTTGTTGAATTGGTTGAATTACACAATTTGATTTCATAAGTAGGTTGGTATGTGGAATTCAGTTTTTGTTGAAGCTATTTTAGCTCCATAAGGTAGTTAAACTAACTCCGAATTCATACGTGATTCTTTATCGTGCCTTGTGTTCGTTGATTTTAAGGATTTTGGACTTCTTAGCCCCATAAGTTGATTCATTTTTCTTAGAATTCGTTATTGAGTGATTATTATGTTTTCAAGTGTTTGTTTGTTATTTTCATTGAGTTGAGGTTGTTTAAGCTCAAAATCAATTTTCAATTTATTGAAAATATGTTGTGTTCATCTATGTGAATAGAAAAAACGTCATTGGTTTGAGAAGTTCATGGAAATCTGTGAAATGTGCTCATCATTAGGAGAAAAAGTTTATTAAAATACATAAGGTATTGGCGGTTTGTGAATAGATTATGTATGAGAGTTGAATGCATAATAGATTCTCTCTTTTATAAAATTTTTCTATAGTGGAAGTATGTTCTCATGCTTGAATAGAGAGTTGGGGTTCTAAGGTATATTTCAAAACGGGCCTTTGAATTGCATGACTCTGGGCCGTGTGGAGAATTGACAATCATCCATATGGTGGTTAAGGAAATGAATCGACTCGGCCTTTGATTGATTTTTTCTATTCTTAAGTGCGTAAGTTACGTAATATATTGACTAAGTGCGTAAGTTACGTAATATCGACTTGGCCTTTTGAGCTTGTTTTCCTCCATTATATCCAAAAAAACCAAAAAAATAAGAAAAATATAAAAACCAAAAAATATTTACTTTTTATTCAACCCCCCCCTTCGTGTTTTACGTTATAATATAAGTTTTTTTACTAAGTTATATTATAAGTGTTTGTTTATAAGTTATATTATAAGTTATAAGTTATATTATAAGTTCTATATTTATATAAGTTATATTTATAAGTTTTTATATTTATTTAGTTATAAGTTTTATTATAAGTTTTATACGTCATATCATACGTGTACTAGTTAGTTTGCTTTTATTTGTTTTATTTTCGTGACAACGTGTTTGCATGCTAATTTGATTTCAAAAGTACAAACTTTCTTCGTGGGATCGACCCTTACTTGCCCTAGCTATAGTTTTTATTTGATTATATATTGAGGGTTAGTTAAGGATATTTTATAAATTTTTAATTTGTTTTGGACCTTACGACAAGTCCTCAACAAATGTATGTTTATACAATTAGGTTTTGTTTATTATTATTATTATTATTATTATTATTATTATTATTATTATTATTATTACTCCCTCCATTCTAAAAACACTTCCTCTTTCATTTTTTCCACTTCCAACAAAATATTTCCACTTTCTATTAAAAAACCACTTTTACCCTTACCTTTTCATACCCTACCTATCACATCATACTTTTTTCTCTAATAATCTATTCATCACATCTTACTTTTACCCATCACATCAAGGGCAAAATTGGAAGTCAACTACAATTTAATATTTTCTTATTTTTACACTTAGTCAAACTAGGAACTTATTATTATTATTATTATTATTATTATTATATATAATAATCAGTTCATCGAATAACTGATTACCAAAACCCACACCTGATGCAGGAGTAGATGATTCTGATAAGGATGAACTTTTAAAGCCGATTAATCAAGTATTTTTTTACCATGAACCGCAAAATAAACACAAGGGTGGCGGGAAATTGAAGCATTTTGAGCTACCACACTGTTTGGGCCATAACTTTGCCTATATGTGTCCGATTTCAGCCGTCTACACCTTTACGGAAATGTCTCGACAAGACACACAAGGGCCCGTTAAGTCAAAGACCCATCGGGATCCATCTTCGACCCAAAATCTTGCTTTTTAGATCGTTTATTTTGCACTTTTGTCTTGTTGGGTTTTTCCTACTTATTTACAGTTTTTTAGCTTTAAATTAAGATATTTAAATTAAAATTTAATATTAATAAAATCAATACGGACAGATACAATAATGTTGCTAAAACTATAAACCATACCGACAGATAAATGTTTGTTGCTAATACTATAAACAATGCCGATAGATAAATTTTTTGATGCTAATACTATAAACAATACTGACAGATACAGTTTTGTCTCTAAAACTATAAGCAATACCGACAGATGAAATTTTGTTGCTAAAACGATAACCTATAGCGACGGATATTACCCTTTCTATGGATCAAATAGTTTTTGCCTTCAAATAATTTTATCTGTCGATAATATTCTCATTTTAGCGACAAATAAGATTTCTGTCACTAAGGATCTGTCGGTAATGCCCTCTTTTTTTGTAGTGCTCACATCCTCACATAATGGAAGGAACTTCTCGAGCTCTTTCTTACACCATAAGATTCATTGGTCTACTTGGTAGTCATGCTCTTGGTATAAATCCAAAGTTCATGGTTACGGCGGTAGATTTAGGAAGGGAATTGATAAGACGAAAAATTAGACTTATTTATAGAGGAGGCAACGTTGGCCTTCAAGGAGCTGTTGCTTCAACAGTCTATAACAATGGTGTTTCATACTAGGGTATATAGAATCACGAGGAGTCTACGGACCTACGTACGGTGTAGAGTACACAGTTTTTAGCAATTACTATAAGTACTTTGAGATGAACCACGTTGTGGAGGCTTTCATCATACTTCTCGGAGGAGGGGACACTATGGAAGGTTTGTTCACCATAATCTCGTGGGCATCTGAAGGATTGCACAGTAAATCCATCGGTCTCTTGAACATTAACGGTTATTTCAATAACCTAATCAAATTTCTAGATGATGCAGTAAGGCAGAACTTCATGGCTTCCTGTCACAGGAAACTTTTCATTTCTTCTTTCTTTATTGATGAGCTTTTAGACAAACTAGAGTTTGCTAAAGCTTTCCTAGGTCTTGGGGCTAGTTATTACAAGTTTGCAAATCCTGGGAGATTAGCCTTAGAATTGCATCTGTAACATTTCTCATATGATCCAAGTTGTATTCTGTGTTGAAATGATATTATCCATGTAACGCCCCAAAACATACCCTAGAATTAGTAATAAATAAATAATAAATTAATCAAACTTGTTTTGATTAAAATAATTTATTCTTGGACTTTGGGCCGAAATAATATGTGTTTGATATCCAATATCTTAATCTGGATAAATCTCATAGAGATATATCCAATATGTTGACTAATTGTGTAATCTTGGTTGGGAATCTAAGTACAAACCCAAAATCAGTAATAAATGAATAATGTGTTTATGATATAAACTTTAAAATGATTTATTGAAATAAATCATGAGAATAAATAATATGAATTTAGTATGAGCACCTTTTTAAGTAAAGGTCAAATAAATCAATTTTGACTTTGTCAAAGTCAAACACCAAAAATATGATGTCGGAAAAAGTATAACGAATAAATATAAAAAGTATATCATTTGATAGAATTTAATTGTACGATCGCAACGATGCAAACGGATTTCAATTCGGAGAAAGTTGGACCAAAAAGTGTACCCCGACTGGGACCGAATTAGTCCCAATTAGAGAAGTAACGTGCAGAATCGCATAAAAATCACATCTCCGCCGAATGAGAACGTGAATTCGGAATCCTATGCAGCAGCAGCTCATCTTCCCTGTTTTCTTCTCTTTTCCTCTTACTATATAAGAAACTCCATTCTTCTCATTTTTTCACCAATCTCCTTAGAATTAGTACCATTGTGTTCATGGTGAAGTAGAGAGTTCAATTGTGCTGTCAATTTGGTGTGAAGTCGCCGGAGCTAGCCACAAACCTCGCTGGAAGTTTCGCCAGAATATCGTTAAAACCTCCATTAAGCTTCGAGGTAAGCTCGTAGATATATCTAGTGACTAGAATGTTCGTATAGATCGTTTCTACGTTCATAAACGGTCATTTGGTTGAGTTTTGTCTTTGACATGCTTGAAGAACCAAGAATCATAAACCATGAATTTGATGTTTAAACTATTAATTAATGATACTAAAATGACCTATGAACTTTGGAGAACATTTCTATATAGTTTAATTGAAGTTCGGAAACTATAAATGGAATTTTCGAAATTGGAGTCGCGAGGTAGAAGACGATGAACAGTGGCTGAAAAGCCACTGTCTGGATCGATCATATGCCATGGATCGATCCTCCGCGAGTAGTTTTCCATGGTATGGATCGATCTAGAGGACTGGATCGATCCCCCGAAACTCTGATCCGGAAATTTGTCCGAAAATGCTATTTTTGAGCTCTAAAGTCTTATTTTTGATAACAATTGAATATGATTATGATAAAAATGATTTTTCACAATAAAAATGATGTTTTTAACAAATTAAAACATTATGTTATGCATGACGGTAAGTTCGGGTGTTAACACTCGAAACTAAGCCGCTATTTGCTATCGAATGATATGTTGATTGATGATTATGGTGAATGATTATTATGATGATTATGACTTGATGAAACCACTGATTATTGAGGATTAAATTATGAGTTAAAATGGATATTTTGATGATTATGAAATAATTTGGATTGTAAGGATATCTAGAAGAACTCTTAGACATACCTAGGTTGATGTTGGTTTTTAAGACTATCTAGAAGACCTCTAAGATAGCTTAGAAATAGGCCTTGCGGGTATAATTATGAATATTCGGTGGCCTGGGTTAAAACGTACGTATGGGATCTACAAACCAATCTAGAGGAACTCGTTTGGGGATACCACCCAACCCAACAGTGAGCATTCCGCTGTTTGGTTTTTGGATGACCTTAAGCAAAGGTAAGTTTAAGATTTTAAAAACCTCTTTTTGAAAATTTGTATCTTAAACTAGGCCTAGCTTAAGGGTTAGTTAAGTGTACCTTAAACTGGAATATAGTTTAACTATATTAAACTAGAATTCGTTTAAGAGTTGGTAAACATCAAACAGATTGGCCTTAGACTAAGAATAGTTTAAGGATATTGTTGAATGACAAATGATGAATATTGAATAATGAATGTTGAATAAAAATGTTGGTTATGAATGATGAATATACATGTTGAATGATTGAATAATGAATGTTGAAAATTGAATATTGATTATTGAATATCTGAACTGAACATTATGTGCATGATATCAAATGATTTGATTATGGATTTGGATTCAATTTATATGGAAGTTCGATGCATTAGATATGCTTACTCAGCTTTATCGCTGAGCGTGTAGTATGTTTTATTTGCTACACGCAGGTTAATAGAAAGAATGATGTGACGTGATTCTAGAGGCAGACAAGGCGAGATAGTCGGAATGGATGTGATGTTTTGAATTAAAGAACATAAATAAATTATGTTTGTGATTATGATTTGTTAATCTTCCGCAATATTGAAAACTCCGTATTGTTTCTGTTATGAAAAATACTATTGTGATAAATAAAAGTGTTTGAAATGTTTTAAATTTTACGATTACCAAGTTAATACTTTAGTCCGAAAGGAGCTGCAGACCTGGACGGATTAGGGTGTTACAATCCATAAATATTATTCTAGGTTGTATGGCCACTGCGAGCTACATTTCCTTCACTCTTTAGTCTTTTACTATTGGTGTCACTGTTTCACGTCTTGTTTTGTATTGTCACCACGTCGCGATATTTCACGTCATTGACAACGTGATATTTCACGTCAATAGCGCATACGAACGAGTCAATTTTCTTAACTATTTGTCTTGTCAGTATCACTTTATTTCACAAATGTTTTCGACGATAAGCAATTACGTCATTAGTTGCTTCATAAAAAGGCGTTAATTCGATCAACAAGGTTGAGCTGTCAAACAGGTTCTTTGAATTTGACCGAACAAGTTATTAGTTCATAGTAAAGAGTAGTGATTCTTGATCATCAGTTTGTTCAAGTTTCTTAATAGGGATTTGTTAGCATCCTGACCGTAAGTCAATCTTAGAAAATACAATCGTTCCTCTAAGATGATCAGATAAATCGTGATACATCGGAATGTTCATCAACGCGATCTTTCACAGCATACACATGTGCATGAGTTCGTTTGTGGATTATTTCCTACTGGTGCAAGTCGGGTTGATGTAAACCGGCATTGGTTTTCCAGGATTCGTAGGACATTCTTTTCGGAAATGCCCAGCCTTTCCACAACGTATACATAATCCTTGTGCCATCCAACATTCTCCCGAGTGGTGTCTTTTACAAATGGTACACTTCAAATGTTTCCACACTCTCAATTTGTTTTTCAATGACAACGGCTTTATTCTTTTTGAGAGTGGGGCACTACAAGTTCTAATCAAAGGTTTCTTTCCTTTAATAACTGGTTTGATACTTATACTAGCATGGGATTGACCTTCAATATCTCGGTGGATATTTGGATTGTCTGGTTTGTTTCAGAAAACAAGAGTGAAATTCGATATTTCAATATGAATTGTTGTGTGTACATTGTTTGGCACTTGGTTATCTTGTTCGCGAGCAATTTCTTGACTCATTGTATAGATAGTAGATATTCCTTTATTAGGATGCTTTATTTGAATAGGCAAGTTAACAGACGTCACGAGGGTATATAACCGTTGCGACGATGGAAAAAAAAAAGAGAGATTGGGAGAAACGAAAGGGTTTATATATAAATTCTAAATGCTTGCATTTTGAGTCAATGATTGGGTCGTGTTAAATCCACACAAGGATCTTCGATATCAGCTTCACAGATGTTGTTTAACATAAATCGTTTCTTTAGAGTCATCTCACTTCCATGCGACTTTGCGATGCAGATCAATTTGGTCATTAGTGATGTGATGCATACGTTAATAACGTATCAGAGGGTCATATATTTTTTGTTCATTCTTTCGTCTCTTCACCAAGTATGAAAGTTCTACTAGAGTCTACGCTCGATAAGATTTCAGTTTTAATCAATTAATATCTAATGAGAATTTAATATAGTCAATATTTATCAAATAAATTCTCATTATCTTTCCTGGAGTAGAGGGATGCGAGAGTCGTGGATTTGTTTGACATTTTTTTAAAGGGTTGAAATGATATATAGATATATATATATATATATATATATATATATATATATACATACATACATATATATATATATATATACATATATATATATACATATACATATACATATATATATATATATATACATACATATATATATATATATATATATATATATATATATATATATATCCAAATTTTGATCCGAAGATCGGTTTTAAAACCATTTGCTCCGATACCAAAATGTAACACCCTAATCCGTCAAGGTCTGCAGCCCCTTTCGAACTAAAGTATTAACTTGGTAATCGTCAAATTTAGAACATTTCAAATAACTTTATTCATCATAAATAAAATTCCATACATAATTGTAAAAAAATACGGAGTGTTTAATAATAATGCGGAAGCGACTTTTAAACAGGTCTCATAATAAACATAATCATTTATTTTGTCATTAAATCCACCATGACTGTCTCGCCCCTTCTGCTTCAGGAATATTTCAATCATTCATTCTGTCTACCTGCGTGTAGCAAATAAAACACACTACACACTCTGCGGTGAAGCTGAGTAAGCATATCTCAAGCGTCGAACATTCACATAAATTGAATCTTAATTCATAATCAACCATTTAATATAATGTACAAAATATATAATTCAAGCATTCATGATATTGTCGATATTTATTCCAAGTCATTTCATGATATATACAATATTCAATATCTCAATAGTGCTCTTAAATTATTCTTAATCTAAGGCCAAATCATTTCATAACAAGCTCTCAGCTATTCCTAGTCCAAGGCAATATTCCTAACTAGGCTCTTAAACTATAAATAGTTTAAGGCGGAACACATGAATCGATAATCCACCCTATGAGTCTTGTGGATTACGTACCAAACCGAACTGTGAACTATTAGGTGGGTGATATCCGTTCTAGATCCCGTACGTACGTTTTAACCCCAAGTTATGAATTGGTCAAGGAGGTATATCTTAGAGCTCTTCTAGATATCCTTAATAATCATCATCAATATACAAGTGGGTATATCTTAGAGTTCTTCTAGATATCCTTAACAATATACACCATTTTTATGATCACCATTATATTCATTTTTTTAACAAAGTGAAAATTTTATTCCACAATCAAACATACAAAGTTTTGCTAAACAGCAAGTACCTCTACTTCCCATACAATTAGACTACCCATTTTTGGGCAATATATAGATAGCTACATGGTACTTTATATAATCAATACACTTCCCAGTAGATATAGCTTCCTTCCCATGTATGATTTAGTTTCTTACTCTCCAAATTGCATAACAACACGCGTTGAAGGTGGCAGCCCTCAGGTTTCTCTCCTTTCTGCTTTTGCATGTAGCCAGCATCTCCTCTATCTCCTTTAGTTCCTGCACGTGGATATTCACACGCATCCAAGCAGCTATCTTCTGGTGTATTATTGTGGTGTACTTACAAGAGAAAAATATATGATGCTGTCCACAAAGAACTGTTTATGTTGTCCACAAAGAACACATTTTGTGTCAATTTGTGGGAATTTACTTAGGCTGCTTTTTGTTTGTAACCTCCCCTTCCAGGACAACCAAGCTATAACCTGGTGTTTTGGTTGGGTCCAGTTATTCCACACTGCATTAGCCCAACTCACCTTTTGTATCTCTCCCATGAGCCATTTATATCCTTCTTTGATACTATACTCCTCCTCCATGGTCATGTTTTTGAATTCAGCCCTCACCTTGAGTAGTTTTTTCTAGTAAAAGCAAATGTCCCCTGTTCTTTCATATTGCCAAATTGAACCCTTCTTGATATACCTGTGATGCATCCATCTTGCCCACAAAATATCTTTTTTGTTGGCTATATCGCAAATCAGTTGCATTGCACATGCTTTGTTCCAGTGGATTAGGTTTATAAGACCTAATCCCCCATTACTCTTTGGTTGGCAGACTTCATCCCATGCAACAACAGGGCATCTTCTATACATAGGTGAAGCTCCCCATAGAAAATTCCTACATACTTCATGTATATTTTTCATAACCTTATTTGGTATGATAAACATTCTAGCCCAGAAAGCTAATATCCCAAATAAGACTGGGTTGATCAGCTTTATCCTACCTGCATAGGACATGTGTTTTGTCATCCAGGATTTTATTTTAGTGGTTAGCTTCTCAACCAATCTTTCACACTCTCATTGTCTTATCCTTGCAGCAATGATTGGACATTCTAGATATCTGAAAGGAAATTCTCCTTTAACCATTTTGGTTATTTGCAGATATCTGTTTTCATTCACTAAATTAACTCCTCCCATCACTATCTGTGATTTCTCATAGTTTATGCTTATGCCTGTCACTTCTTTAAAATATTCCAATGCTCTTAGAACTGCTGATATAGACTCTTCCTCTGCTTTACACACAACAATCAGGTCATCCGCAAACACCAAGTTAATCAGATTCAATGACTTACACATGGGATGGTGTTTGAAACTATTTTTGTCTGCATAATATTAAAATTTCCTTGTGAGATACACCGTAATCACCACAAATAGCAATGGGGATATGGGATCTCCTTGTCTCAGTCCTCTCCCACCCTTAAAATATCCACTTCTCTCACCATCAAGTTGAATTGAGAATGTAGTATTTGAAATGTAGAATCTAATCCATTCAACAAGCTTTGGAGGAAATTTTAGGGCTTCCAAGATTTGGGTCATGGCCTTCCAGCTTACTGAGTCATACACCTTGGAGACACCCCTTTCCTTTTGTAACCTCTAGGCAGTTCTTGGCATACGAGCACATTATGCACTAAGTCCCTCCCTGGTATAAAAGCTCCATTGTTTTTGTCAATTATATATGCCAGAACATCTTTTAACCTACTGCATATAATTTTTGATATGACCTTGTAAATTACATTACAGCACGAAATGGGCCTAAAATCCGATGGATATTTAGGGCATTCAACTTTTGGTATAAGGGTGATAATAGTTACATTCACCTCTTTAAGAGTGGTACCTGTCTGAAAGAATTCCATAATTGCTTGTGTGACCAAACCTCCCACCACATTCCATTGGTGCTTAAAAAATCCACTGCTAAACCCATCTGGTCCTGAGCTCTTACAGTTGGGGATTTCAAAAATGTATTTCTTAACCATTTCTGGTGATATGGGGGCTATTAATTTCACCTGTTGTTCAATTGTCAACACTCTGCCCTTATTAATAATCTCCTTCTTAATATTATATGTCCCAACTGTGGTTCCCAATGCCTCTTGGAAATATTGCAGCACTGCCCTAGTCACATCTTCCTTTCCTTCTACAAGCTCCCCTCTTTTATTGTATATTGTGGTGATATGGTTTTGGATTTGTCTCTTTCTAACCCATGCATGGAATAACCTTGAATTTTGATCTCCTTCAAGGAATCATTCTTGTTTTGCTTGTTGGCATTTCAACAGGTAGGTTACTCTGAGGTTCCAATTGAGTTGTTGTATCAACTGTTTTTCTTTATTGATCATCAGTTCATTGTTGATATCCCCTTTAATCTCATGTTGCACAGCATAGAGTTCATTCAGGACTATGTCACATCTTTGGATTATATTTCCAAATTTCTCTCTATTCAAGCTTTTGAATTGTGTTTTAAGTATCTTCAGCTTCTTCACCAATTGGTACATGCTTCTCCCTTGAACACATTTTTCCCAAGTCTCCTTAACTAGGTTAGAGAAGTTAGGGTCCATGGTCCACATATCACAAAATCTGAACATGTGCCCTCCCTTATCTTGCTTCCATAGTTTTATTAATAGAGGTGTATGATCAGACATCCCTTCCTATTTGATAATAAGTTTTGCCCTATATTGGGCAAGCCATTCAATATTAATTACTGCCCTATCAATTCTAGAGTATATCCTTCTTCCTACTCCTTATCTATTAGACCATGTGAACTGGGCACCTTCAGCTGATAATTCCTCCAACCCATTAATTTGCATACATTCCTTAAAGTCTCTGATCTCATCCCAAGTAACTGGATTTCCTCCAACTCTGTCATCAAATGTTAGAACATTATTAAAATCCCCTAAGATGCACTAGGGTTTATTCATAATAGCAGCTATACTGCTAATCTCATTCCATAATTCCTTTCTTTTAGTAGAGTCATTGTGGCCATAAACAAATGTCACACAATATTCTATATTATCCCCTGCTCTCCTGCAGTTGCAATTTACCAACTAATCAATCACCTCAAGTATTTGCACCACAATTTTCTTTGTGTTCCATAGTACCCATATTCTCCCCAGGTAGTGGATATTGTTGTTGATGAAGGAACCCCAATTATTGAACATTCTCCCCCCCAGTTCTTTGAAATTGCCGTCTCTAATTTTAGTCTCAAGTATTCCAAATAACATCACCTCATTATTTTTAACAAAACTCAATATTTCACTTTGCTTATTAGGACTATTCAGTCCTCTCACATTCCAGCTGCAAATCATTTAAGAAATGGGTAATGTCCTGAGTAAGGAACCTCACTCGGAATCTTATTCAATCCTTTTTCATCACACTCTTCTTTTTCCTCCATTATCAACTTCCTTGCTACTTTCCTCCCACTAACCTGAATAAACCCTTCCTCTTTGGAATTCTCTTCATGGTTTTCTTCCTTATTTTCTTCCATATTTGTCTCCTGTTTTTGGTCCCTAACATCCTTCTTAATCCTCCAAACTTTTGTCTTTGGTTCGTGCTGTTTCTGCTTAGCTGTCTTCAGCCTGCATTTCTTCTACTCATGTCCAATTTTCTTGCAATCGTAACACATACAGGGACACCATTCATAATTCACTTGTTGGGTGATTACCCTATCCTCTTCATTTATGAAAGTGATTGTCTTGGGAAATTCATAGTAAACCCCAACTTCCACTTGTATCCTTGCATATGCATATTTCATCCTTGTAGTAGTGGCCTTATCCCTCTTGATGGGCTTTCCAATGAGGTTGCCCTGTTTACTTAGTCTTGTTGAGCCCCCAGTACTTGATATCCAGATCAGGGAATTGTATCTAGATGGGGATATCCTTAAGTTCTGTGATATCTACCTTCTTCCCAGGTTTCCATTTCCACACTAATACTAGTTTGTTATCAAAGTAATAATACTTTCTCTTTATCACCTCATCTCTGTCTTCTTCTTTTTGGAACATAACAATAAACTGTCCTTCTTTCAATAAAGAAACCTCATCTATGGGATACATTTTCCACATTCTTACTATGAAGCACTTAATAACATCTATTGGGGGATTAGCTCCCAAAACGCAAAGTATCATAGCAGAATCCCAGTACCTTGATTGTTCCACAACGTCATCCTTGGTAAATTTCGCTACCTGAATGCCACTCACCTCTTTAGATTGCACAAATTTCAGATCTAGTTCAATCGGTTTCGGAAATCCCACCGCTTCCGCATACGATTTCAGTGATTGCTCCTTCAGATCTTTCTCCTTCTCCTGTACGCCATTCTCTTCCGGTGTAGTCTTAGGGTTTTCGTCATTGCGCTCCGATCCACTGGTTTCCGAAGAATCCTTACAGGTGTTCTTCAAATTCTGTACTACGTTGTTGTTATTAGGTGATTCCCGATTCTCACCCAACGTATTCCCAAATCCATTAGCTTTCTTTGGCCTTCCTTTCTTCTTCATCATTGCGTTAGAGAGAGAGAGACTGAAATCAAAACACACTTTTAATTATAATTTAATCATCAACAAACATTCTAATTAGTGGATTTATCATTCATAATTATTCATAATAATCATTCATCATAGTTATCAATTAACATAACATCCAATAGTAAGTAGCGGCCTAGTTTAGAGGATTAACACCTGAACTTACCGTCATGCATCACACAATGCCTTTTTAATTTTAAAAACATCATTTTTATTTCCAGAACTCATATTCATATAGGTCATAATTGATTAGTATCAAAAATAGGATTTAATTGTTCAAAAATAAAGTTTCTGACAGATTTGATATTGGTCATATCTTAGAGAATACAATGGTTCCTCACATATTATTTCGGCCCAAAGCCCAGCGATAAATTATTTTAATCAAAACAAATTTGATTAATTGAATAATTATTCATTAATAATTCTAGGGTATGTTTTAGGGCGTTACAGATTTAATTGAGTGGCTTTTTAATTTTCACTTTAATTATTCCAAGATTTTACAACTTCTGCTAGTTATTCCCAACTCCTTTCAGTTTCTTCCAAATTCTTATTATTTCTTCCAATATCCTACTCTTAAATTCCAAGACAAAAGAACAGGGCCTAAGAGAGAGAAATTTGGTTAACCTACAACACACCTTTATTATGCATATTATAGTGATGTAAACCAAACAATAATAGAAGACTAAGATCTCTGAGAAGATAGCATTGGCAAGAAGGTCAAGCTAGACACTGAAACAAAGGGATTGTTCTCTTCACCTGATCTAATTAATTCTGATATGATATGATCTGGTGTGATCATATCTAATTTTGTCTAATCTGATCTGACTCGATTGTAGCTATATTTAAAAAAAATTGATCTGCTCTAGTCTGACTTGATTTCAATAAGAATAAGTAATAAGCAATTAATAATAAAAATAAGTTCAAGAGAAGAAGCTTTAAGATAGCTTGGGGACAACACCTGAAAACAAAACAGGTGAGGAAAAAAGAGAGCGGGGTCACCACAGCTCTTCTAAAGGTAATAGTGCATGCTTACCATATCGGTGATGACAACAGTGCTTTCCAAAGAAAAAATTGTTGTCATAGAGCAAGGTTGTACAAACCTACACTATCCGAACAACGAGCTGAGAATGACGTTCGGGTAGAGAATCTAGTGGAAACTGTCTTATGGCAGTGGAGGATCGCCAGAAAACTAGCTCATTGGAACTCTTACAATTTTGTTCAAGGAATCTCAAAAATAAAATTAGATTAAATTACTTTTTCTTGCTTGGTTATGATAGAAAAGAGAATGAGAAGATAAAATGTGTTAGAAGAAAGAGGGAAAATAGGATTCCTTTGACTTTGTCTAAGAAAATAAGAGAAAATTATTCTCTTTACATTCTAAATTTCTTAAACCAAACATCATGTTAGTTCTCTTGTGTATGCTCCTATGGTGTTGCAAAAATTATAGAAAGCAAATTTGAGATGATGACTTTATAATAGGCAATATACCGTGACCATTCAATTTCATAACTGCCAGGTTTAAATGATCATTAATAATCATTTGTTGTCCCGTTAAATTAGATATTTTTTTCAGAGTGGAGGGGGCCTAAGACTAACTCAAATACACTATATTAACTTTGGTAGCACCCATCATGTCCTCAACTATGATTTCTTCCATCCCAAGCAGGGAGTCCTCGTGATGAATCCAATCCGCCTCCTGGAGGGTTCCAATTTTAGCAAGGTAGTCAACTGCATAGTTCTGTTCCTGAATGATGTTTTTGAATTCAATCCTCATAAATTTTCTTTTCCAGTTATGTTTAATCTCATAAATGATAATGCGAGTAGGATCTCTAAGAGAAGTGTAGTCAGCCATCCACTTTATAACCTCACTTGTGTCCGTCTAAATCTCAAGGTCCATTGAATGCCTCTAGCGATTGCCATTACTTCCAACAACGTCGCACAACTTGAACTAACCTTAGTTGTAAATCCCCCTTTCCACTCGCCTCTTCTACTTCGAAGGAGTCTACCAATACCTGCTTTGTCAATAAGTGGTTTGTAACTCCAGTAAATATTAAGTTCCCATTCACAATTGTAAGCCATACTCCACTTAAATAGGTGATCAGTATTCCATCAGCAAGCAGTGGAAAATGCCACTATCACCATCAATGTTGTTCCTCTTCTGTAAAATATTAGTGTAGATCCATTCCTTCATGCCGCCACCACCACCACTAGTGGTGTCCACATTGCCTCTAATATTGTTCCACACACGTGTATTCTTGGTGCGGGTCTTGAAGATATGATCATTTGCGTCTTCTTTGTCCTTGCACGTGAAAGTTTATAAGGGGCAACAAGGATAACCTACGCAAACAAATCAAACCACAAGACTGCTGCAGAAGATGTTGTAGCACTGTCGCAGAAACAGATAACATACAGAGTGCTATAACACCTTCTTAGTCACATGCACAGACGTAGTATATAAAGTAAAAGCAGTAAACAGTGCACAAGAATTGTTTATGCAATTCGGAGCAATATCTCCTACATCTCCGAGGCCCACGTCCGTGTAACAGACTTTCCACTAAACCTTAGTAGAGTTTACACCCTCATTAACAATAGACATGATCTATGTATTGATCTAAACTCTTACTAAAAGAAATTACAACAAACTCGATTTGTGCACAAGTACCTCCGACTGTCACACCACCCTTGAGTGATATGACACCCTCTGTCCCGCGAACCCGATTCACCGCGGCCTAACGAGCTGGAGAGGTTACATGGACGGTTTTTAGGGCCGTCTACAAAGAAAACCCTTGCGTTGCTCTTGTACCTAAAAACTCTTGATATACTTTATTAACTGATGAGAATAAATTCTCTTAAAGGAAATGTTTCGTAGCGGAAGTAAATGTAAACGTTAAACGTTAAGTCATAAATAAAGAAAGTGCAACAATGGTGGGTTCAAGCCCAAAAATGTTACTCCCTCCGTCCCAAATTATAATGCATGTTCACTATTCATAGGGTCAAACTTCATTCACAATCTTTCTCTATTTTCGTTAGCAATTTGATAAAATAAAATACTATTGTCACTACTAATTTTGTAGATCTTTTGATGTAGCTTTTTAATATGAAATTTTTATTTTTAAATTTTATGCCATTTGTCATATAAAATGGTTTGAAAATAATTTCAGTTAAACATTGTAAACCGAAAGAGGCGTTATAAAATGGGACGGAGGGAGTATTTCATTAAGGGAATAGTATAGACGGGTCCACACTGTCGCCTATCTTCCGCCCTGATCTCCCAGTTGTCCAGGTCAGGCTCCATGATCTTCTTGCCTACCTGCATATAGCAAAAACAACGTTATACGCTTAGCAAAAGCTGAGTGGTAATCTAACAGTAGAACGCATAGTACATTCACATTGATATAAAAATATTTGTACCTGTACTAAAGTACGAGATACCACATATGTAACACCCTAATCCGTCCAGGTCTGCAGCCCCATTCGGACTAAAGTATTTAACTTGGTAATCGTAAAATTTAAAACTTTTCAAACACACTTTATTAATCTCAATAATATTTTTCATAACATATACAGTACGGAGTATTTAACAATATTGCGGAAGCGAATTTAATATTGACATATCATAAATCATTTCAAAACTTGTCACATCCATCCCGACAATCTCGCCCCATCTGCCGCCAGGATCACATTAATCTTTCTGTTTACCTGCGTGTAGCAAATAAAACATACTACACGCTCAGCGGTGAAGCTGAGTAAGCATATCTAAAACGTCGAACATCCACATAAATTGAATCTCAATTCATAATCAACCATTTGATATCATGCACACAATATATGGTTCAAACATTCA